GACTGCAGTCCCAACACAGGGCTTCGTTTTTCTCTGCCCCTGAAGCGGGAGCTGGCTGAGAAAGAAAGAATTGAGATATATTCCTGCGTGGCTGATGGGAGGGTGATATTTCACATATGCCTTTCTTAGCTGCTGTGATGCAATGCACAAACTGTTCCTTCTGCTCCTGAGCCTATTGTGCTACTAATCCACGTGAAAGCTCCCAGCACTGAACCGTCCCCACCCGCAACTGCATCACACTCAGAACTACAAGCAGCAACACAGAGCCAGGTTTTCAGAAGTATTCGGCTCCTCAGTAATAACAAATGTGTGTCTGGCTCTCCCAAAATTCACATTTCTATTCAGAAACATAGTAGCTGATTTCTTTATCTAGCTTGAAAATAGATGATGCATTTCTTGAAACTATGTACGCCTACAAGCCACTAATAGCTTGGGAAAGGGTGAATAATCACAGCGGTGACTATTTTGGCCAGAGAGGAAAGCCAAACTTCATCTAGCAGTTCTGTCCCCTCTCATATCTCACCATCCCCCCTCGCCACCCTGCAGCAAAACTCCACCAGTCAGGTGGACAGCTTGAAAGGGTGCAGGAGCTGTGCAGCCAGAAAAGCCAGAAGGCAAATTCTGGGGAGTACAGCAGCAAAGAGGAGATGCACTCCAGGGTCCCAGGGCAGCTACCCCAGCACTGGGGTGCTGTGAGATGTTAGGGCAGCAGGAGTACACAGCACTTGGGCTCATGGGTGTACAGAGCCAAGAGCAGAGGTGTTTGGGAAAGAGACAAAGAAAATACTTAACTTCTAGAAGCTGGTGGGTTTCAAATAAAGTGAAGCTGCAAGAAAGAGCAAGAGGGGCTCTGCATCACACACTGCATCGAGGCACAGAGAGGTCAAGCAGCTCATCTGGTACAAGGACAGCTTAGAGCCAACAATAATAACCCCACCCAGTGCTTTGCAGAATGCCTGTAGGGCTTACCAACAAGGTCATTCTGGCCTTAAAACCAGGGACTAATTCTTGTTTTCACTATCCAAGGAAAATTCTTCATTCACAAGTTTTTGCTTTAGTTTTAGTAACTCCTTCTGTTTTCAATATCCTTCTCTCTTTTCTACAGCTTTCTTGTAATCCAATATATCCATGGTTAATAATTGCTGTGGTACTGAATTCTTTGAATTATACATAAAAACAATCAGAGAAGAACTTGAATATTTCATATCAGACCTAAATGTTTTATGATTGCTTGCAGAGTGAAATTAGTAAGGACACTTGGCCAATGCTGTATAATTTATGCTGGGCTTAAGCAGGAAAATTACAGAATTGAACACACAGAATTGTGTGAGGTTGGCGGGGACATCTGGGTCCATCTGGCCCAACCCTGCTCCAGCAGGAACAGATAAGCAAGGTGCCCAGGCCCATATCCAGGCTCTTTTGAATTTCTCCAAAGAGACACCATCACCTCTCTGTGCAACCTGTGGCAGTGCTCCATCATCTCCTGTGTTCCAATTTGTGCCCATTGTCCCCTGTCCTGGTGCTGAGCACCACTGGCTCCATTCTCTTTGTGCCTTCCCTTCAGGTGTTCATACACATTACCAGGATCCTCCCTGAACCTTCTTTTCTTGATGCTGGACAGACCCAGCAATCTCGGCCTTTTCTCACTCCTGTGAGGAATGGAAATGGAATGGAATGGAATGGAATGGAATGGAATGGAATGGAATGGAATGGAATGGAAGAGGTGCTCCATTCCTTCATCTACTTAATGCCCCTCTGTTGGACCCTCTCTTGCAGTGCCCTAAAAGTCCAAGTGTAAACTACAGTAATTAAAAAAAAAAAAAAAATCTGTAATGTTATTTAATATTGGATAAGAGAATGTTTCTATTAAATAAGGGGTATCCTGAATCTTAATTTGCAACACTATCCTTCCAAGCTCACTGAAAGAGCAGAACTTCCATTCTTAGTTTTGTAGTTGTGCTTTCCTCCTCCCACCTGGCAGGATGAAGGCTACTGAACAGGGCAGCACCAACCTCGGCCCTCAATCCAAGCTACTGCTGTTTTTGTTTATTGTGCATAATAACAGTTTTATAGGACAGTAAACAATAGCAACGATCTGACCGTGGGCAAAATGATCTGTGTGCCTGTTTCTTTGTCTTCCTTCATCTGTCTGTTTTAACTACTTTGCCTGCTAATGTTTTTGCTCTGCAGTCAGACAGTGCATCCTGACTTTACTGCAAAAAGCCCAATAAAGCACTTACCTCTGAATTTCAGTTTTTGAGAATAAATGGGTTGAAATAACACTGTGAAGCCATGGGGGGGCTTGCATATTGCTTAGCATAACAGTGCTGGGGTGATGACTGCAATACAAGAGACCACTAATAAATCTGTCTGAACATTAACTGGGGTTTTCAGGTAAGAGAGGTGCAGATATGCTACAATTGCAGTGATCTGGTAAGTTGTGAAGTTTTCTCTGCTGGCAATTCAGAACTAAACAAACTGAGATTACTGGTGAAGAATAAGACAGTAAGACCAAGATGCGATGATCTTCACAAAGGAGGTAAAGCTGCTGAAGTACTCTAGGCAGCTACGAGAGGAGAGTGACCCTGGAGTGTGAGATGAGAATTCACCTCATGTATGTGCTCACAGATTCCCAGGTGAGCCAATCACTTGGACTTTTTCTGCTTCATTTCTGCCTTCAGGACAACAGCATGTGGAGAAGATAAAATGCGATGCAACCAGAGCAATCTAAGTACTGGGGGGCACAGACCACAGGCTATCCCAGGTTAGAAGGTATCCATAAGATCCTCAAGTGTAACCCCTGGCTTCTCACAGGATCACCCAAAATCCAAACCCTGCATCTGAGAGCAGTGTCCAAACACTCCCTGAACTCCAGCACTGGGGCCGTGCCCACCGCCCTGTGGTGCAGCCCCTTTCCCTGACCCCCAGCTGCCCTCCCCTGACGCAGCTCCATGCCGTTCCCTCGGCCCTGTCGCTGTCACACACAGCAGAGCTCAGCGCTGCCCTCTGCTGCCTGTGAGGAGCTGCAGCCGCCACGAGGGCTCCCCTCAGCTCCTCTGCTCTGCGCTGAGCACCTTCAGGGTGCTCAAGCATCCCCACACACTGTGTCCTCAGACCCTTCCCCATCTTTGCAGCCCTCCTTTGGATGCACTCTCATAGTTCTACGTCTGAAGTACAAAGGCTGAGCAGAATCTATCATGTAAATACTGCTTTGCATTAGTCATTTGTAAAGCCTTATCCAGTAGGTGTCACAGCTGAGACAGGCTGCAAAGAGGGATTTTGACCTCTGTAGATATGGCTGCTTACTTTTAAGGTGATCACTGATTTTTCTACAGGTCTGCAATTACAGAAACCTGAAAGATCTAAACTGTCTCTCAGAGAAGACCTCTGAGATCTCAGATAGGGGCCCAATGCACGGTGAGCATAGAGACTGAATCTCTTCAAGAGCAAATAGTACAAAACCAATGGGCCAGTAAGAAAGAGGCATGGCACAGGAAAAGGCATTTGCTGGGAAACCTTCACATGGAAAGATGGGAAGGAGGAACAAAGGATGACAAACTTCAGCTAGTCAACACTACAGCTAATACAAGCAGCCAAACAAATGCAGTGTTTTCTCACACCCATCACAACCTGAACAGAAGTAACAATGACCATTAACTATGGCAGCCTTTCATCATTCAAAGAGGAATAGACCAAGGGCTGCAGAAACTTACAGGGACTCTTAGTATATCTGCTGAGGAAATGTAGAATAAAAACTGTACTGCAATGGAAGGAACTGAATGGATAAGGGAGGCTGGTCCCTGGACAAAATCAGGATTCCCAGGCATGGAATGGCAAACTTGAACAGCTTACTGCAGAGAGCATTTGCATGATTTCTTCTTTTCTTTTTTTTTTTTTAATTATTTAAAGTCTTTTCTTTGGGAAGAAAGGCAGATCAGACAAAATTTAAAGGGGAAGTTTTCTAGGTTTGGCACCCCAGCAAATCTGCAGTGCATGGCCCACAGAGGTCAGCTCTCAGCTGGTGAAAGACAAAGACATGCCCTCTGCCTTTAGCATCCAAGCCATCTCTCCCTGACCTTGCCAAAGTCAGAGACAGTTGCAACAACTATGGTTTTGGCAGTCAGATTTTTTTCAAGCCTAACTACTTGAAGCTTGAATTGAGTCAAATGGGTATTTAAACCCCTCAAATTCAGAGAAACAGCCTTGGTGAGTCAGAAGGAAACGACTGCTCCTTTGATTGATCACATCTGTGACTCAAAGCCAAGTATGCATTCGAACAAGTTAAACCATCTCCAGGGTTCATAAACATTGTGCCAGGCCTTTTGTGTTTTGTATTAAAGCCATGCCAGTACCCAAAAGCCTTGCTGTTTGCAAATCATGGGGATTAATATTTATTACTGTTGAATGTACATGGTTGAGTCTCCTGCCCTGGAGATTTTGCATTTAAATAGTACAGGAAGAACTGGCACATGCACTCAGCCTTGGCCTTTGTCTGCTCCCAGTGAAACTAGGGGTGAAACCTTTCTGGCTCCCAAGCACACAGCAGATCAGGCTGGGTTGGGCTGGAGCCTGTGCTTCCAAATAGCTCTTGCCTGGGCACCCTCTGAAATCAAGAGTGGACAAGTCCCAAACTGCATGATTGGCATACGTCCCCTGGAGGATATCTGCATCTCCTAATGCTCGGCAAGGAGGCCCTGTCAGACCACACTCTGAGCTAAACATCACATCAAGAGACATCTGATGAATCATGAGCACAGCAAGAGCCCAAAGGGCTGTAAAATACCTCTAGGGACTTGTTTGTGCCAGATCTCTTAGAAAGTTCAAGAGGAATTAGCGAAAGATGTGAATCAAACTGCTGTGGAGAACGTGTTCAGAGTTTAAAAGAGACTCTTGCAGGATACAGCGTGCTACACTCCAGAAGCCAGAATGCACGGTGGCCATCTGAATCAGAGTGCCAAAATGTTTGATGCAGTACATTCCATGCATTTTAAAGCAGTTACCTCCCCTCAGATGCATCTATGCAGCCAAGCCCTTTGTGGTGGCATCACCTGCTGCACGGAAGTGAAGGGTCTTTGAGTTACAGTGGAGCTCTATCATTGTGTTTCTGAAAAGAGAGAGCATCCATGTGATGCATGCTGTGGTCACAGAGGCTTCATCAACTCATCTTACCTTTCTGACAGCGTGCAAATAACCCCTAAGAGAAATGATAAAAGAACAAACAGAAGGTTAGTGAACATGCAAGCCAAGGTAAACCAAGGGATCCCACCTTGTCAGATAGAAAGATATTCTGGGAACGATATGCAAAGGTCCCCACTCTACACACACAACAGTGTGGAAATGCCACGGTTGTGAGATTCAAGCAGCAGATGAGCTAATGTCTGAAATTCCTCAGCACCACTGCTTCCTGGGTGGCTGCCTGTGGTGTCAGAGCCCAGGGTCCTCATGGACAGACTGATCAGGGAGGCTGAAGCTGGAGCAAGAGAACATCCTTTCATGTCCAGATGGGCCACTGGAAGAAAAGAGTCCAATCCACCTGTAAAAATTTCCTTTTTATCGCTGTAGTCTGACGTTTTGGGTCTCTCCGGCAGTTTCACTGCACTCAGAGGTTTACCTGCCTACCTGTCAGTGAGGGTTATTCACCACAAGCAGCTGCTGCTCTGGGTTCACTGATCTTCTCAGCGCCCAACGTCAAGAGGATCAAGACTCAAAGCAGAGCCAATGAGTGATGGTCAGAAAATTATCCTAAAAGGAATTTGGAGGGAGGAAAAAAAAAAAAGCAAATGAAAACAAGGCTCTCTGAGGTTTTGCTGTACAGGTCCCCATCATCTGCCTACGTTTTGCCCACACACCGTTTAATCAGCGTGCCAGGGAGTCTGGTTCCCTGCCAACACGAATGTGGATTCTGACAATTTGTCTAAAGTGCACTCAGAAATTGCAGCTAAACAAAAAGACAACTTCTTGTTTGTCGGTTTTTTTTTTTTTTCTTTTTTTTTTTTCCTGAAAAAATTACAACCTCTAACTGCCACCCACACCTCAGTTGCCTGAGAAACGCAGCGTGGGTACGGCAGCGGTAGCAGATTCAGGTTTTACACCATAGTTGCTATCATTGGCTAGCTGTGAGGCCCCCACAAAACCATCCCAGCAGGATGTTTCAGCCCAGACAGAGAGAGTACTGCCACCCCAGGCACAGCCCACTTCAACAGCCTACCACAGCAAGCATCACTCTGGGAGAAGACAGGGGTGTAAAAATTGGTGTCGGCATTACTCCAGAAATTATTCTGGCTCCATCCACCCTGGTCTCAGTACTTCATGTTCCCGCACAGTACAGCTCTGGACGGGATGGAGAGCAACATGCACTGAGAAGTGTGGGTATAGCATGTGCTTTTGTCTCATCAGAAATGCTTTCCACACTTGACATCGCAGCAGTGCCCCAGTTGCCACTTATCCAATCTACTTCCAAACTGACAGGGCACACACCTGTTCTGCAGGTTGTATCCACCACAGATTTCTATAGACACACATCCTTGTTAGCAGGCTGTGGCTGGAATTCACCTGAAAAGACAAAGTGCTCTTCTTTAACACTGGACAGGCCGGCAGAAGGGTGAAGCTTGCTCAAACCAATTAAAAATATTCACCTTCTCAGAGGTGATAGAATGTCTCTACTGAGCACTTCTGAGCTCAGAGTCAAAGGGTGAGGGGAATGGACAGAAGGATGATTTATGTCTGACAAAGACTGTTCCTTCGGGGAAGAAAAACACACAAACACAAATTCCACTTTTTTTTTTTTTTTTTTTTTTTTTTTTTTTTTTTTTTTTTTTTTATAGCAATCTCTGCACAGTGATTCAGGGGGAAGTTTGCTTTCTGTGAGTGTTTGTTTCCCTGCTTTTCCCAACAAAGACATTCCACATCCAGCAGACAGTGCACAGACCCAGGGATGCTGCTGTCTTCCAAGCTACAAAGCACAGAAAGGAGTATTTATCTTGGCTGCCTCTGAGTAGTCTTCTCTGAAGGCCAACACACAGCACCCTCTCCTGACCTCATGGCAGCCCTGACAGTGTTCAGATCTCCCCTGCAAACAGTGGGGGAACATGAATCTTTTGCCAAAAGACAAAGGAAGGTGCTAGGCAACCTTCATAGGTGGCTGCTTCTTTCTTATTAATGGGTTGCTTTTTCAAATGATAGATGGATCTGTATGCAGTTCACTTGCCTCCCGTGCTATTTCTTTACACTCTTGTTCAGTTTTCTCCTGGCTTTCAGCTTCCAAACCATTCCCTCTCCCCTACTGCAAACCCTCCCTGCCATTTTTTTTTCTGCAGAGCTTCCTATCCCTGATGCTATATTCTGCAGTCTTCTGCAGTTTTCCAGCCATCTGTACATTTCACCTACATTTCAAGACTGCATGGATAAAGATCCCCCAGTGCCTTCACATGTGCAGACAAGTAATGTTTGTTCTTAGAGAAAACACAATGCTTCTGCACTACAGAAGTCTGTCACTGAGATTTTAACTCACAGGCCTTGATTTCTCAAAATGTCCTTTTAATGTCATTTTTGCATTCTCAGTATTCATCCTTTTTACCTTGTGGCCACTGGCAGAGCTCCTGCATAATTCAAATATTTCCAAATATTCTTACAAACATCTTTTTAGTTGTCTGAGTCATTAAACTTGTAGTGGTTTACAGTAAGAGGGAACTGTCCTGGAGCCATTCTCCCCATTCAACTTATTTCAGAAACCAACTCAAACCACTACTAAGAAAATGGTCAAGCTATTAAATAAGGAATATATCGGTTACCTAATAAACACAAAACCCTCACTTGCCTACAATTATACTGTTTTCTACACGATCATACAATTACAGAGCTTTGAATCAGTTTAATCAGCTTTTCCATATTGTGTGTCACACAGAGCTACCACTCAGTTACAAATCCACCGCGCTTCCCTCTCCACATGACCTACAACCCGGGTGCAAATCTATCCTTGTCCACCCCACCCCCACACCAATTTTTTCAGACACAGTCCAGATGGAAAGTCAATGGGTCATCGCACAGGAACTGCCTCTGGCTTTGGTCTGTCAGTCAACAGCACTATCATTCGTAGGCACAGGCACTCCTCCCCTCAGAACATTCCCCCATCCGTTGTTCTTCACCTGATTTTCTACCTTATTCATCACTGTTTCTATTTCTGGCAACCTTTTTGCCTCTTTCATACCTTCCTTTCTCTGCTTCAGCTGCTCTGTAAGAGTGGCATTACTTGCCCATGGCTGGCCCAGTTCTGCTACCTCTGTGTACAAGCACATTTTTTCCAAAGTTCCTCCTGGGGCAATGTCAGCTTCATGTAGTACCGTTGATGATCTTCTCTAAGAAGAATTGGTGTGCTTTAGATGATCTACAAAAGAAAGATCCACATCACCTGTGTACCCTATGCACCCAAAAATTAGCTGTGGAAGGGTGACCAGAAGAGATACCCTGTAACAAATGTGATCATTAGAGCAATCTCAGAGTGGCTGGCAATCTGCTGTGTAGTAGTCCATTTTTTCTAGCATGGCCCAATTTTAGGGAGAAATGATTAGTATGGTGGGTGGTATAATTTCTTCTGAAAAATATCTGTTTAGCAGCAAACATAGAAAGAGCAGGAAAATGCAATGACACTACAGATAAAAACCTGAGTCATCATCATATCATTCTCCGCATAATGCTCCAGACTCTTAAAAGCCTCCAGATATTTTTGCCCTTGCCTTGCCATTTAGGAGGCCACCGCAGCACATCAGTACTTTGCTATCTTAAGAACTCTTCCAATTTCAAACCTAGAGATATCCATGACAACTTTAGACCTATCTGTGCTTTACTTTGGGGTGAAGTCACTCTCTCATGCTAGATTATTTATAAATAGCTGAAGACATCTGTAGCTTCTGTGGACTGTGGAGATTTTAGCTGTATATAAACTTCTGGGTTCACTTGATAGTTTTATTACTTACTCGGAAATGTAAACTGAAAATGGACAACAAAGAATAAAGAGAATGTGCTCAGAGTTGACTTCGTCAGTTAGGAAGACAAAATAGAAAAAGATGTAGTGATTAGCACTGGCATTACCTTTAACAAACAGTCAAACATTCATTTGGACATTAGAGGAGGCATTTAATACATCTTCCTAAGTATAACTCCCACTCCACTATCAATTCTATAGCCCTTTCTTAGAAGACATAGTAACCCATGAACATGTATTAGGACCAGAAACTCTCAGAGCTTTGAAGTATCCAAAGTAACCAGGATAGGAAATACAGGAACAGCAAAGAAAAAGTCTGATATTCCATAGCATAATATGAAAAGAGCGTAACTACCTCAAAGTCTTGCATTCATCTAATGTGCCAAGTTTCTAGGAGGGAAAAAAAACCAACTTATCTCAGGATGGTCATTTACAGAGATCTTGGTAAGAAAAAATACCTTCCTTACCACCGTTTCCAAACAAAACCTCAACAGGCCTGTTGTGAAGGTTCTCTGTGCCCAACCTGCTATTGAAGGTGTCCTGTTACCTGTTCATCAGTCTCCTCCGCTCCCACAATGAGCCACATCCAGTGCAAGAACAGGAAACACAAAATTGCTTTCTATGCATTATGCAGTCTCCTTCACTCTGGTGAACCCACTCTCACCTATATTTCTGCATTCCTTCTTTTTCTTTAGTGTCCTGCTTTTCTGTCACGGGTCTTGTTTCCTTCCATTCACTAGACCATCAGCAATTTCCAACCCAAGCAAATCTCAAGCAAAGTGTTCTGTAAAATGGTTGAGGTCATTTTTGAACAGGTGATCACTGCAGCCTCCCTCTACCAATCCATCTGCTTGCAAACCCATCTTTAATCACTTATTTCTCTTCCTGTCTTTTCACAGCTAAGTGGAGGTAACTTCATAGCTTATACATTCTGTAACAGCCCATACATAAGGCAACCTGTTGCAGAGGTACAAAGAGAGATACTCCAGCTGTCCTCACTGAGGACTAGTGCACGTGCCCTACTGCTGGCCCCAACCACGTCTCCTCAAGATTCCTGTGATAGAGAGTGTTTGCTGTACATCTTGTAGGGCCATAATGCATTCTGCCATGCCAAGGCATGCTGGTCCAGACTGTGTTTCTGTAAGGTACACAGTACACACACTCTCCAGCTCTGGAAACTTGGAGTCTGCTGACTGCCAGAGGAGAGCAGGGTGCTCTGGGGAACAGCTGTACAAGCTGGTGGATGCACATTTTCCCCGAGCAGATCTGCCCAGCTAGCGGTTGCTACAAGTCCCCAATACCACCTTCATGTTCCCATGCATACGAAGGAAAGGTAAGGGCTCCAAAAGAAACCATTCAATTGCAGAAGATGAAATACATTTGGTTTATTTCTTTCTAAAGTTTGTACATATACATATATCATTATACATATGTGAGATCCTTCACTAGGGTTGCTTGAGTTCAATTACATAAAAATTATTGAGAAGCTTGCAGGCTCTCTGTTGCCCGTAAGCAACACTTATTCCAGCTTATAAAAACACAGAGGAACAGAGTAATAGTCAGGAACATGGACACAAGAGAGAATTCTACTTTATATCTCACAGTTTCAATACATCAAAGGCAAATTATTTGTCTGTATACCGTAGGCTTACTTTATCAGCAATGATAAAATAGAGGAAAATATTTATATACAGTCACCTCAAGTGAAAAATAAAGCAATGTAAACTTAAATTCCAAAATATTATTTCAAATGATATAACAATATCCCCAAAAGTCCTTCCTCCGCGGAGAAGAGGACTGATTAAGTGCCTTCATTTATCAGGAAATGATCATTCTAGTACCAGTTACATGAAGCAGAATAAAGGAGGGCATCCTGTGGTACCTGTAGAAAAGAGTGACAACTCTGCTTCAGGAAACCATCTCTGTGTAAGCAAGCACATGTTTGAGTCCTCGTGGACACCAGCAGCACGTGGAAATGTCTCCCATGAACCAGGATTTGATTGAAGTCTGACTCTGACGACCAACGAAGAACGTGCTTTTCTGGCAATGAACACACCCAGGGACAGGAAGGAGTGCCCCGGTAAGATAGCCTCAAGCCTGACCACACCAGTCAGAGTCAGAGCAGCAAATTTCACGCTGCTGGAAAAGATAGAGCGATTACCTCAATGTCACCTCACAGCAGAGCCAAGAAGTACCACAGAGCAGTGAGACTGGGACTGCGTCTCTAGTGTGTCGTATGAAGAAACTCCACTGAGTCAGTGATAAGAGTAAAGTGAGATGAACAGTGTGAGAAAGAAGGCTCCTACACTTGGCAAAAGGGACAGGAGGCCACCAAGAGGAAAGATCTTGCAAGGACTGCTGTTTGGCCCAGTAAAGTTAGGTCTGCACAAAGGAGATGGGCAGTGTGCACACATGCATGTGCAAGATGGTCTTTGCACTACTGCTGCTGAGGGTTATTGTTCCCACAGGGGCACTACACCATAGCAACTGTTAATTTCTGAACTGCATCTTCTCAGGCTGAGAACAAGTGCCAATTTCTACTACAACTCTGAACTCATCTACTCACTGCATCACCAAGGGAGGCAGGTAACCCAAGGGAGAGCTTGTTGCCTGAAAAGGATCACAACTGATCCAAAGGAAGATGATGAGGATGTCCCTCTTAATTTCACGCTCCGCTGCAGTCAACTTGCATCTTAGTCTTGCAAGACTGGCCATGGTCCAATTAAGCATACAGCCATGACTTCACGAGTACTCGAGTACTTCGAGCTAACACTATAACATCTGATAAGATTTTTATGACTCCAGGTAAGAATCCTACCCTCTGGCTTTGCTCCTTCTTTCCTAGAATAATGCAGATAGTCCTAACATTGCACCAGCTAGAGCAAATTGGAAAATCCACTAGAAAATCCTTCCTTATGCCTTCACTTAGCCCAGCAACCTTTTAACAACTTGTTTAGATCTCACAAGGGAAACCTTTGGGAGTCAAACAAGAAGCCTTATAGTGATATTTCACTCCTGTTGGTCTTCTTCTCCCCACTGATGAAACAAACACTCTTCTTGAAATCTGTATAATTGCAGAAAGAAACCCTCACTACTACTGCGTGATTCTGTCTGCAGGAGACATCACAGGCACCTGTCCTGCTTGGACACAGTTTTGGACATGACGCCCTTTTGTTGAATTTTCACAGAGAGAGGTCAACAATTTCAGAAGTAAAGCTGTACATTTGATCTTCAGAGTGTGATTTTCAGAAGTAGGCATTGATGCTCATGGTACAGGCATCTGCTAACAGAAATGGGGAGATAACCCAGTGTTGAGCTAGCAGAAAATAGAACCCCGTGATCCTTGCTTAGACTCTCAGATATATGCCTTTGCTTTCAGCTACACACAGCCCCTGGTGGGCAACACAACAGAGACTGAGGCACAGCTCAAGGGATAGCCTAACTCTGCAAAAGCTCTGATGACTCTTTAACTTATTTTGAGAACAATTAGAACAAGCACCCTAACAAAGTGTGCAGCTTCTTAAGTGCTTTGACCAAAATAAGCCTCAGAAAAGAACAGCAGGCTCTGGAGTGTTGAGTCACAGAAGCCATACTATACCTATGGAACACATACACACATCTATAGGCATCACTTAAACACATTCACCAATACTGTAAGCCTCAGATTGTACCTCACACAGAAAGTATTGATTTTAAAGTTTTCAAACTGCCAAAAAACTTTGTTCTTCTAGCCTGAAGTAAGAGGACAGTTGTCACGAATATGTACACATGAAAAAATAAAATAAAAACAAAAATCCAACATCGTTCTCATCCCATAATTTTTCAGAACTTCACAGCACTGAGCACCAAGTATTCCTAAGTGTGTAAGTGACTTAAGACTTCTACTGTCAATAGCATGTGCCTTGCTTGTGAAGCAGCACAGACTGGGAACCACAGATCACCCTTTTCCCAGCAAGAGGCTCTGGGAAGACAAAGGACTTTGTGTCCAACATGTCTCCATAGCAGGTGGCTAGCTGCTAAGTGGTTAAACAAGGATATTCACATTGCCCAAGGCAAAGCTGAAATTTTGTCTGCTTGAGCAAAATGCATCTTGCTGTGCTGGTCTAGTTTAGGTGAATTACAGACAGGACCACTGCTACAAAGTGGCTGCTAGTTGCAAAGGATAATGTCAGAGAAAAGCTGTGCGGCTGTAATTTGTGGCATTTCTAAACCATGCATTGCCAAGTACTGTACTTTTTCCTCAGGCTAAATACACCTTAGGCACGTACTCCAGCTGATTCCTGGCACAGCTTTAACAGCAGATGCCATGGTAGGTCCCTTATTGTTTAACAATTTATAACTTTTACAGAACACTTCATTACTCAAAG